GACCTCTAGAGATGTAGTGTCCAGTCAGGGGATCTAGAGCTGGTGACCTCCAGAGATGTAGTGTCCAGTCAGGGGATCTAGAGCTGGTGACCTCCAGAGATGTAGTGTCCAGTCAGGGGATCTAGAGCTGGTGACCTCCAGAGATGTAGGTCCAGTCAGGGGATCTAGAGCTGGTAGTCTCCAGAGATGTAGTGTCCAGTCAGGGGATCTAGAGCTGGTAGCCTCCAGAGATGTAGTGTCCAGTCAGGGGATCTATAGCTGGTGGCCTCCAGAGATGTAGGTCCAGTCAGGGGATCTAGAGCTGATAGCCTCCAGAGATGTAGTGTCCAGTCAGGGGATCTAGAGCTGGTGGCCTCCAGAGATGTAGTGTCCAGTCAGGGGATCTAGAGCTGGTGGCCTCCAGAGATGTAGTGTCCAGTCAGGGGATCTAGAGCTGGTGGCCTCCAGAGATGTAGGTCCAGTCAGGGGATCTAGAGCTGGTGGCCTCCAGAGATGTAGTGTCCAGTCAGGGGATCTAGAGCTGGTAGCCTCCAGAGATGTAGTGTCCAGTCAGGGGATCTAGAGCTGGTAGCCTCCAGAGATGTAGTGTCCAATCAGGAGATCTAGAGCTGGTGGCCTCCAGAGATGTAGTGTCCAGTCAGGGGATCTAGAGCTGGTGGCCTCTAGAGATGTAGTGTCCAGTCAGGGGATCTAGAGTTGGTAGCCTCCAGAGATGTAGTGTCCAGTCAGGTGATCTAGAGCTGGTGGCCTCCAGAGATGTAGTGTCCAGTCAGGGGATCTAGAGCTGGTGGCCTCTAGAGATGTAGTGTCCAGTCAGGGGATCCAGAGTTGGTAGCCTCCAGAGATGTAGTGTCCAGTCTGGTTGATAACAGCCCACCATCAATGCATGGGTGAAAATGTCTATCAAAGCTCATTTGGAACTTTGGTAACAACCGCTGGCTAAACACCCTAGTGATTGACAACCGTTGGTTAAAATGTCTGGCGAGAGGGAAGATCTACTGTAGATTTAGCCAAATAACAAGAGATTTGCCTAGATAAGCAACATCTCAAGTGGGTGGTCACTCATGGAACAGTACAGTCTCCATTCCTCAAGCTCATCAACACAGCATTGAGGTGCACCACAAAAATCTCCAACTGTCCGTGTGCTGGTGTTGCACAAATGTTCTCTCATACTTGTCCTATAGCTCAGAAACAAAGTGCCAAATGTCAGTGTGCTGGTGTTGTACAAATGTTCTCTCATACTTGTCCTATAGCTCAGAAACAAAGTGCCAAATGTCAGTGTGCTGGTGTTGCACAAATGTTCTCTCATACTTGTCCTATAGCTCAGAAACAAAGTGCCAAATGTCAGTGTGCTGGTGTTGCACAAATGTTCTCTCATACTTGTCCTATAGCTCAGAAACAAAGTGCCAAATGTCAGTGTGCTGGTGTTGCACAAATGTTCTCTCATACTTGTCCTATAGCTCAGAAACAAAGTGCCAAATGTCAGTGTGCTGGTGTTGTACAAATGTTCTCTCCAACTGTTAGTGTGCTGGTGTTGTACAAATGTTCTCTCCAACTGTTAGTGTGCTGGTGTTGAACAAATGTTCTCTCCAACTGTTAGTGTGCTGGTGTTGCACAAATGTTCTCTCCAACTGTCCGTGTGCTGGTGTTGAACAAATGTTCTCTCCAACTGTTAGTGTGCTGGTGTTGAACAAATGTTCTCTCCAACTGTCCGTGTGCTGGTGTTGTACAAATGTTCTCTCCAACTGTCCGTGTGCTGGTGTTGTACAAATGTTCTCTCCAACTGTCCGTGTGCTGGTGTTGTACAAATGTTCTCTCCAACTGTTAGTGTGCTGGTGTTGCACAAATGTTCTCTCCAACTGTTAGTGTGCTGGTGTTGCACAAATGTTCTCTCCAACTGTTAGTGTGCTGGTGTTGTACAAATGTTCTCTCCAACTGTCAGTGTGCTGGTGTTGTACAAATGTTCTCTCCAACTGTGAGTGTGCTGGTGTTGTACAAATGTTCTCTCCAACTGTCCGTGTGCTGGTGTTGTACAAATGTTCTCCAACTCCAACTGTCCGTGTGCTGGTGTTGTACAAATGTTCTCTCCAACTGTCCGTGTGCTGGTGTTGAACAAATGTTCTCTCCAACTGTCCGTGTGCTGGTGTTGTACAAATGTTCTCTCCAACTGTCCGTGTGCTGGTGTTGTACAAATGTTCTCTCCAACTGTCCGTGTGCTGGTGTTGTACAAATGTTCTCTCCAACTGTCCGTGTGCTGGTGTTGTACAAATGTTCTCTCCAACTGTTAGTGTGCTGGTGTTGAACAAATGTTCTCTCCAACTGTTAGTGTGCTGGTGTTGCACAAATGTTCTCTCCAACTGTCCGTGTGCTGGTGTTGAACAAATGTTCTCTCCAACTGTTAGTGTGCTGGTGTTGAACAAATGTTCTCTCCAACTGTCCGTGTGCTGGTGTTGTACAAATGTTCTCTCCAACTGTCCGTGTGCTGGTGTTGTACAAATGTTCTCTCCAACTGTCCGTGTGCTGGTGTTGTACAAATGTTCTCTCCAACTGTTAGTGTGCTGGTGTTGCACAAATGTTCTCTCCAACTGTTAGTGTGCTGGTGTTGCACAAATGTTCTCTCCAACTGTTAGTGTGCTGGTGTTGTACAAATGTTCTCTCCAACTGTCAGTGTGCTGGTGTTGTACAAATGTTCTCTCCAACTGTGAGTGTGCTGGTGTTGTACAAATGTTCTCTCCAACTGTCCGTGTGCTGGTGTTGTACAAATGTTCTCTCCAACTGTCCGTGTGCTGGTGTTGTACAAATGTTCTCTCCAACTGTCCGTGTGCTGGTGTTGAACAAATGTTCTCTCCAACTGTCCGTGTGCTGGTGTTGTACAAATGTTCTCTCCAACTGTCCGTGTGCTGGTGTTGTACAAATGTTCTCTCCAACTGTCCGTGTGCTGGTGTTGTACAAATGTTCTCTCCAACTGTCCGTGTGCTGGTGTTGTACAAATGTTCTCTCCAACTGTTAGTGTGCTGGTGTTGTACAAATGTTCTCTCCAACTGTTAGTGTGCTGGTGTTGTACAAATGTTCTCTCCAACTGTTAGTGTGCTGGTGTTGCACAAATGTTCTCTCCAACTGTTAGTGTGCTGGTGTTGAACAAATGTTCTCTCCAACTGTCCGTGTGCTGGTGTTGTACAAATGTTCTCTCCAACTGTCCGTGTGCTGGTGTTGTACAAATGTTCTCTCCAACTGTCCGTGTGCTGGTGTTGTACAAATGTTCTCTCCAACTGTTAGTGTGCTGGTGTTGCACAAATGTTCTCTCTCCAACTGTTAGTGTGCTGGTGTTGCACAAATGTTCTCTCCAACTGTTAGTGTGCTGGTGTTGTACAAATGTTCTCTCCAACTGTCAGTGTGCTGGTGTTGTACAAATGTTCTCTCTAACTGTGAGTGTGCTGGTGTTGTACAAATGTTCTCTCCAACTGTCCGTGTGCTGGTGTTGTACAAATGTTCTCTCCAACTGTCCGTGTGCTGGTGTTGTACAAATGTTCTCTCCAACTGTCCGTGTGCTGGTGTTGAACAAATGTTCTCTCCAACTGTCCGTGTGCTGGTGTTGTACAAATGTTCTCTCCAACTGTCCGTGTGCTGGTGTTGTACAAATGTTCTCTCCAACTGTTAGTGTGCTGGTGTTGTACAAATGTTCTCTCCAACTGTCCGTGTGCTGGTGTTGTACAAATGTTCTCTCCAACTGTTAGTGTGCTGGTGTTGCACAAATGTTCTCTGCTACTTGTCCTATGGCTCAGAAACAAAGTCCCAACTGTCTGACTGAAAAAATTAATACTAATGTTATACATGCTCATTTTCACGGGGCCAATCCTCAAAGTGTAGGACATAAAAGGGGGTAGCCATGCTGGTTGCATGCTTTTGCCAATGAAATAACATTAAAGGTGTCAAACATGCTCAATAAAAATGTACTAATTTTTGTGGCCATCGAAGTCCCAGACCTTGCAGGCTGCTCTCTAAAGGGTGCAGCGCATGACGATTGATAAGCTCAACATACAAATGTGAGGTTAAGCAGTCACGTGTATGTGATGATTCCTTGGATGAGCAGAACATCATGTGTCAGCTCTACATTTATGGAGGTCTCCTTGATTGGCAGAAAATGCCCATAATCTGACCCTGGCTTCCCTTGAGGGGACCTGTCTACAGGGCAACACCTAAAGATAATAGGACAAAAAGAACACCACACAAATAAGGCCACAACAGAAAACTATCCAGGAAGTTAGCCCAGTCAACAAAGTTGGATGTGTCGGCACAAATAAGGCCACAACAGGTCCCTATCCCAGAAAACTATCCAGGAAGTTAGCCCAGTCAACAAAGTTGCATGTGTCGGCACAAATTTTGCAGCTCTGCTGTAGACAGACACAACTCTTTACGTGACTCAGACGAACTAAAAGAAGAAACAAACGGTTTCATACAGTTGTTGTACTGGAGCCTGTGCCCCATGAAATATCTGTTTCATATAGTTGTTGTACTGGAGCCTGTGCACCATGAGATATCTGACATGCATGATGAAAAACACTGACCAGCTCAGGCTTCCTCTCAGTTTATATGTACTGAATCTTGACCTGGTCAGATCCAAGTCTACCTGCCCATAGTTCTGAGAATACAGTACCATTCATGGAACAGCTCCCTGAATCTTGACCTGGTCAGATCCAAGTCTACCTGCCCATAGTTCTGAGAATACAGTATCAGTCATGGCACAGCCCCCTGGTTTGTAAATTTAAACAAGAAGAAAAGAACTTGATGAAGAGATCTGAATGATAACTGCTGATTTGTACATTGGAATTACTTTCTATATCTAATCATGCTGTCTTCTAATGTTATTGAATATACAGCAAAACAAACATATAATTATGATATCCAACAATAAAGAAATTTAATTTGTTAACATATACAGAGAGAACATATCAATAAAATTCATTAATTCTGTTGGGTACTTGACACAGCCGTCCACTCGTCTACTTGTTGCTGAGACACTGATAGAGAAGCAGACCTGCGTACGCATCAGTCGAGGCATACATCTTCTGCTCTTGACTTAAAGGGATCTGCTTCCAGTCACCACACCGTATGTGGCCATCTTTGTTCAGTCGCTTTCTCAAGACATTTTTACACAAACCATCGAGAGTCCAGTTCTCTGATGACTTTAACTTCTGGTTGGCTAATCTCCCAACATCAATGACTGAACCTCGGTCCATGAGAGGCTTCACCCGGACATCAAAGTCTCGCTCCAGCCTCCACAGGTCTGCTTCAACATTCAAACCTACCAGGACCACACGGGCATCACAGAGCAGCTTCCTCAGGGCTGTTGGAAATGAGGTCATAGCGGACACGTGGAATAAATAACACACAGCCTCAGACAAGCACAACTGGATCAAAGCAGTCTTTGGTGTCTTACCCTTGATGAAGGTCACAGGCCACTCCATATCAAAGCCCACAACAACTGGGTCAAGGCTGCTCAAAGAGGTCAAAATGTCATCACAGATACCAGCACAGTCAGCAAAATGGCAGGAGTAGACGACTGTGCCAGGGAATGTCAGCAGCTGCATGGACTGCTCAATGATGTGACCAGCGCTGACATTTGATCCACAGCTTCTGTTTCTTCCTGTGTGGGCACATGATCCTACTGGTGTTATTTGTTCCACATCTTTATCAGGATAACTTGCAGCATTTTGATCCACAACTTTATCGGAATGATCAAACTGGAGCCCTTTCTCACCTGCTCCAAACTTTTGAGTCATGTCTACAACTGACTCCTGAGATTCAAAACCTGAATGACTCATACCCCTAGTTTGTTTATGAACTTCCTCCATCCAGGCGGGAAGGCGGCGCTTTAACTGTGTCAGTCTCGATGTCATGAATGACCAGTAAATCACAGCAATCAAACTGTCACACAACTAAACTAGTTGCTATCTACAGCTCCCCTTGCCTTAGCTTCAGCTAGTTGCTATGAAGAGTTATTTCCCCTCAGTCACAGTTGTCTGTCCAATGTTACTGCTATTATAATTCCTACCCTGCTGATGTTGGCAGTCTGGTACTGAAGAAGGTGCCTGTATCCTGCCGCTGCTCAAAGATGTGAACACCCAGATGTATTCTTTGATGTGAGCTGGTGTAGAATGTTGCAACTCACTGGCTGGTCCAGGGGCAATCACTGCACCATCATGACAGTCTGCTCAAGTTCACGCAAAGATAGCTTTCCCTTGCTAAGCATCATACGGATCACTTCCTGGATAAACACAAATTGAATTAAAGTTATTGTTATACAAGCTGTATTCATCTGTAACAAAAACATGGTCGTGTGTGATACAGCACTGGTCATGTGTGAGTGTTACAGCACTGGTCACGTGTGAGTGTTACAGCACTGGTCACGTGTGAGTGTTACAGCACTGGTCGTGTGTGAGTGTTACAGCACTGGTCACGTGTGAGTGTTACAGCACTGGTCACATGTGAGTGTTACAGCACTGGTCACGTGTGAGTGTTACAGCACTGGTCACGTGTGAGTGTTACAGCACTGGTCACGTGTGAGTGTTACAGCACTGGTCGTGTGTGAGTGTTACAGCACTGGTCACGTGTGAGTGTTACAGCACTGGTCACGTGTGAGTGTTACAGCACTGGTCACGTGTGAGTGTTACAGCACTGGTCACGTGTGAGTGTTACAGCACTGGTGGTGTGTGAGTGTTACAGCACTGGTGGTGTGTGAGTGTTACAGAACTGGTTGTGTGTGTTACAGCACTGGTTGTGTGTAAGTGTTACAGCACTGGTCATGTGTGAGTGTTAGAGCACTGGTCACGTGTGAGTGTTACAGCACTGGTCATATGTGAATGTTACAGCACTGCTCAAGTGTGAGTGTTACAGCACTGGTCATGTGTGAATGTTACAGCACTGCTCAAGTGTGAGTGTTACAGCACTGGTCGTGTGTGAGTGTTACAGCACTGGTCGTGTGTGAGTGTTACAGCACTGGTCGTGTGTGAGTGTTACAGCACTGGTCATGTGTGTGTCTTACAGCACTGGTCGTGTGTGAGTGTTACAGCACTGGTCGTGTGTGAGTGTTACAGCACTGGTCATGTGTGTGTCTTACAGCACTGGTCGTGTGTGTGTCTTACAGCACTGGTCGTGTGTGTGTCTTACAGCACTGGTCATGTGTGTGTCTTACAGCACTGGTCGTGTGTGAGTGTTACAGCACTGGTCATGTGTGAGGGTTACAGCACTGGTCATGTGTGAGGGTTACAGCACTGGTCATGTGTAAGAGTTACAGCACTGGTCATGTGTGAGGGTTACAGCACTGGTCATGTGTGTGTTACAGCACTGGTCATGTGTGAGTGTTACAGCACTGGTCGTGTGTGAGTGTTACAGCACTGGTCATGTGTGAGTGTTACAGCACTGGTCGTGTGTGAGTGTTACAGCACTGGTCTTGTGTGAGTGTTACAGCACTGGTCATGTGTGTGTCTTACAGCACTGGTCATGTGTGAGTGTTACAGCACTGGTCATGTGTGTGTGTTACAGCACTGGTCATGTGTGTGTGTTACAGCACTAGTCATGTGTGAGTGTTACAGCACTGGTCATGTGTGAGTGTTACAGCACTGGTCATGTGTGTGTCTTACAGCACTGGTCATGTGTGAGTGTTACAGCACTGGTCATGTGTGTGTCTTACAGCACTGGTCGTGTGTGTGTGTTACAGCACTGGTCGTGTGTGAGTGTTACAGCACTGGTCGTGTGTGAGTGTTACAGCACTGGTCGTGTGTGAGTATTACAGCACTGGTCGTGTGTGAGTGTTACAGCACTGGTCATGTGTGTGTGTTACAGCACTGGTCGTGTGTGAGTGTTACAGCACTAGTCATGTGTGAGTCTTACAGCACTGGTCATGTGTGTGTCTTACAGCACTGGTCGTGTGTGAGTGTTACAGCACTAGTCATGTGTGAGTGTTACAGCACTGGTCATGTGTAAGTGTTACAGCACTGGTCATGTGTGTGTCTTACAGCACTGGTCATGTGTGAGTGTTACAGCACTGGTCATGTGTGAGTGTTACAGCACTGGTCATGTGTGAGTGTTACAGCACTGGTCATGTGTGAGTGTTACAGCACTGGTCATGTGTGAGTGTTACAGCACTGGTCATGTGTGAGTGTTACAGCACTGGTCATGTGTGAGGGTTACAGCACTGGTCGTGTGTGAGTGTTACAGCACTGGTCATGTGTGAGTGTTACAGCACTGGTCATGTGTGTGTGTTACAGCACTAGTCATGTGTGTGTGTTACAGCACTGGTCATGTGTAAGTGTTACAGCACTGGTCATGTGTGTGTGTTACAGCACTGGTCATGTGTGTGTCTTACAGCACTGGTCGTGTGTGAGTGTTACAACACTGGTCATGTGTGAGTGTTGCAGCACTGGTCATGTGTGAGTGTTACAGCACTGGTCGTGTGTGTGTCTTACAGCACTGGTCGTGTGTGTGTCTGACAGCACTGGTCGTGTGTGTGTCTTACAGCACTGGTCGTGTGTGTGTCTTACAGCACTGGTCATGTGTGTGTCTTACAGCACTGGTCGTGTGTGAGTGTTACAGCACTGGTCATGTGTGAGTGTTGCAGCACTGGTCATGTGTGAGTGTTACAGCACTGGTCGTGTGTGAGTGTTACAGCACTGGTCGTGTGTGTGTCTGACAGCACTGGTCGTGTGTGTGTCTTACAGCACTGGTCGTGTGTGTGTCTTACAGCACTGGTCATGTGTGTGTCTTACAGCACTGGTCGTGTGTGAGTGTTACAGCACTGGTCATGTGTGAGTGTTGCAGCACTGGTCATGTGTGAGTGTTACAGCACTGGTCGTGTGTGAGTGTTACAGCACTGGTCATGTGTGAGTGTTACAGCACTGGTCATGTGTGTGTCTTACAGCACTGGTCGTGTGTGAGTGTTACAGCACTGGTCATGTGTGAGTGTTGCAGCACTGGTCATGTGTGAGTGTTACAGCACTGGTCGTGTGTGAGTGTTACAGCACTGGTCTTGTGTGAGTGTTACAGCACTGGTCATGTGTGTGTCTTACAGCACTGGTCATGTGTGTGTTACAGCACTGGTCATGTGTGTGTCTTACAGCACTGGTCGTGTGTGAGTGTTACAGCACTGCTCATGTGTGTGTCTTACAGAACTGGTCGTGTGTGAGTGTTACAGCACTGGTCATGTGTGTGTCTTACAGCACTGGTCGTGTGTGTGTCTTACAGCACTGGTCGTGTGTGTGTCTTACAGCACTGGTCGTGTGTGTGTCTTACAGCACTGGTCGTGTGTGTGTCTTACAGCACTGGTCACGTGTGAGTGTTACAGCACTGGTCGTGTGTGAGTGTTACAGCACTGGTCATGTGTGTGTCTTACAGCACTGGTCGTGTGTGAGTGTTACAGTACTGGTCATGTGTGAGTGTTACAGCACTGGTCGTGTGTGTGTCTTACAGCACTGGTCATGTGTGTGTGTTACAGCACTGGTCATGTGTGAGTGTTACAGCACTGGTCATGTGTGAGTGTTACAGCACTGATCATGTGTGAGTGTTACAGCACTGGTCGTGTAAGTTACAGCAGTAGTCATGTGTGTTACAGCACTGGTCATGTAAGAGTTACAGCACTAGTCATGTGTGAGTGTTACAGCACTAGTCATGTGTGAGTGTTACAGCACTAGTCACGTGTGAGTATTACAGCACTAGCCATGTGTGAGTGTTACAGCACTAGCCACGTGTGAGTGTTATAGCACTGGTCGTGTGTGAGTATTACAGCAGTAGCCATGTGTGAGTGTTACAGCACTGGTCATGTGTAAGTGTTACAGCACTGGTCATGTGTGAGGGTTACAGCACTGGTCATGTGTGTGTGTGTTACAGCACTGGTCATGTGTGTGTGTTACAGCACTGGTCATGTGTGTGTGTGTTACAGCACTGGTCATGTGTAAGTGTTACAGCACTGGTCATGTGTGTGTGTTACAGCACTGGTCATGTGTAAGTGTTACAGCACTGGTTATGTGTAAGCACTGGATCACTTACAAGCATGACACAAGTATCCAGAAGCCATGAGTTGTTAACCCTTAGGCTCGGTATTATGGAAATCGCAAGCTTTCGGCCTTGATTCCATTTTAAATACCGTAAATCTGGGAGAAATGTGTCTTTTCTGGCCACCCCCGGGAGTGAACCCGGACCACAAGGAGTTCGTCACCCGCTCACCGCACAATCCGGTTTAGCCAACTACGCTAGAGAGACGGGCACCCTTAGTTAGTCACCTTTTGTTAAATTTGGTTGCCTTCAGAGGACAAGAAGTGGGTCCTTTCTCCCCCCCACATGAGGCCCCAGAATCCACAGGGGTGGGGGGTGTGAACACATGAAAACGATTGCAGGATCTGTGAGCAAGTTCTAGAATGGGGAAAGTTCCGTCTGTGAAACAAAATTTCTTTTTCTGCATTCACCGTCTGTGACGTCTAGCACAAAATCTTGGTTGTTTGCCAAATCTGGACTAGTCTTGCTCAGGAACTTGAGCACTGCATGCATATCCGTTTTTCAGATGTGACTTACAGTGTGCAGACTGTTGGTTCCTCACATCTCAGGCAGATCGACTGTAAAAAAAAAAATTCCCATCTAAGCTGGCCAGACCCCTGGTAAAAAAAACTATTTCCTATGTTGAGCATGGAGAGATGCAGGCAGGTGTTAAACTGTTTCAGCCCTGGTCCCAGACCACATGTGCCGGTTCACTTCTACATCCTGCTAGAATACAATCACTGTTCTAAAACGTTTGCCAAATAGTTTATGTCCACTACCTCATCTGTATGATGCTTGTTCAGTTCAAAGTCTTTCCTGATCCACTGCTGAAGATGCTTCCTCTGGTCCACATCTGCTACTCTGTAGGTCAGCCGAAGCATTTCCCGATAGAGTCTAAGAACTTCTGCCCGAAGCATGAACTGTGTGGACGAGAGAAGACAGATTTGAAAGAACTGTCACAGGCATCTTTGAGCTATTTATCTGGTAAATATAATTCAAATGCTTGATTCTTCCATCACAGAGTGTCAATATGCCAGTTTTTGCAGACAGCACTTTGAGCAAGACACCCCCCTCTCTCTATAGCACAAGGCTGTGTGTGTCAGGTTGTTATTTTGTTGTTTTCCTTTACTAGCTACCTGTATTATCTGCTCTTTGGGTTAGTGAGCATGTTTCACAATCAATAACACATCATGTTTCTGTGGGAGGTGGCTAGAAAATACTGTTTTCATGGCTTTCAGACCATGGTAGGAGAGTCATTGTAATGGGGGATATTTTCACCCAGTTTAGGATGGTTGGGGGGAAGGCCCAAAGCTGACCGAAAACACCGAGATAGTCCAGATACTTGGATTAAACGAGAATCTGGAGATAGTTGACTAACCACTAGTTATCACGGGGACCACGGTGATGCGACCCAAGGTCGCCACGGGAAAAGTAAAGGACCACCGCGTGTTGTCACGTGAAAGGAACCCGTGGTATAAGTCAGACTTGGCTCTGGTCAAGTTTAGTTTGTGTCGACCTGTTGGAGTGAGAGGACGAGCGACTGAATGTGAGAATGTCTACGTGAGTGCCTGAGGAGAAAGGAGACCTGCCGACGAAGTGTTAAGCTGAGATCGACCATGCCAGTGTGTGAGATGTCCAAACATCAATGTTGAATCCATGGGACCCATCGTTGCTTGAATGCCTGCAGAAGAATGTTCGTTGAAGGCTGCGTGAGTTTGTGTACGAAAGCTGTTCACTAGGACACCGACTGGACTATTCGTTTGTCGTAAGTCTTAATACATCAATAAATTCATGTCTCGTAAGCTCACATCGGTGTCGGCTTGTGCCAGTTGTGTAACGTGGAGCGTGTGAGAATATCATCCACCACACACGCATGAACACTACCTAGACAACGAGTAGAATTACAAACCACTTATTACAGTCATTTTGTGGAAGAGATTGGGGCATGATTAGGCAATATTCCCAAAGAAAATGGTGGATGTACATGTATATATATAAAATATGGACTGTCTGCCAAGGAACAAATCGCTGCAAAACTAAGATTACTTTATAATTTCAAGAGACGCAACACTGCAGACGATAGTACCAAACGATAATAGCGGCCGTTGACAATTTCAAGGGTTTCTAAAGGTGATACTAGCAACTGATACTAACGACCACTGACAATTTCGAGACAGGCAACATTACAGATGATAATAGCGACATGGCGGGGAGGCCACGCGCTCTGACGCAGATTAGCGTCATTGTTGTCCTCACACTTTTAGACATGCACAAAACGCGGTTAACACCGCCGACAGTTTCCCGCGCGCGATGGAAGGGGGATATAAACTAGATACCTGGGACTCACGAGCAAATAAATTAGAGGAAGTTGCAGGAGATGCGGTAGCTGCTGCTTGTGAGTCCTAGCCATCTAGTTTTGCCCCCTATCCGCGCCGCAGAAACAGGTCCACAATTAATTAAAATATCACTGAGATCCTGTTAGAGAATTTGTTTCGTTATTCGGAGCCGATCCTATTTTTGCCGCGATTTGTTCCTTGGCAGAAAGTCCGCATTTTAGGCACGACTGAGACCCTGTTAGGCAATTTGCTTGGCCATAATATCGGGTAGAAGTTCGGAGGAGAGCCCGCTTTTGTATAGCGACTACGGTGTTCGGCAATTTGCGGTCTTTTGGCAATTTCCGTTACCATGGAAACCGTTCGAAACTTGTTTGGGAAATGTCAGCTGGTTTCGGGATGGGGTCCCAATCTCTCATGAAATTTTGGGATTGGTGTAATTTTCACCAGCTATAAATAGCTGAAAACAGCGGGAACGAACCCAATTAACAGCGCATGTCTACGACAGCCGGACGTCCTCTGTTTTTCTGTTACATCAGTTTTATTAAAAATAGCAGTAAGTATTCAAGGTTGGCTTTAGGCTTTAACATTACTCGTCCTGGTAATGCTAGTTATAATTAAATTCTCCGTTCAATTTTACATTTGTATATAAAATTTCGGCTCTACTGGCAAATCCGGACGAAGAATAAAAAGCCTTGGACGACTTAGTCAGAGTTCTCTCCCTTGGCCGCACTCCAAACAGTGGTCGGAAAAGCCACAACGAAACAAACGACACACTTACTTACCTATCATCCTACGGTTGCGTACGGTTGCGTGAGGCATCGTGAAGGGATGCGTGGTCATTATATGGTTGCGTGCAGGGTTTGCGTACGGTTGCGTGAGGCATCGTGAATGGTTGTGTAGTCATCATGCGGTTGTTGGGTTAGAGTAAGGGGTAGGGTTAGGGGTAGGGTTAGGGTTAGGCTTAGGGGTAGAGTTAGGGTTAGGGTTAGGGGTAGGGTTAGGGATAGGGGTAGGGTTAGGGGTAGGGTTAGGGGTAGGGTTAGGGTTAGATGTGAAAATTTTGACGTAGGATTTCGAAATACTGGCCGACAATCTGATGTTTGTGGGAGTGGCGCCACTAAAACTCTGCCAAATATGACGCCAATAGCGTGCGGCTGGTGCCCCCAATCGTTGGTGAATTGTGCGTTTGACCAACATCCAGAGGCCCTCGATTGTTTGTGTGTGTGTATGGGACTGTGCGCGATTATAGGGAAATCCGGCGTCAAAATTGTCCAATCTAACGCTAAACCTAACCCTACCGCTAACCCTAATCCTACTCCCTAACCCTAACCCCTACCCCTAACCACGCAAATTTATCGATCATTAAAGCATACAAATCGGCAAAAACCAACAAAACCAACACACAAAACACACCCACAAAAAAAAAAAACAGATTTGTGCTGCAGCGTAGAAAAAAAAAACCAGATCTGGGGGAAACAACCAAGCATTGGCATCCCTGATGTCGACGTGACTGTCTTCTTTGTTTCGTTGACTTTTCCGATCACTGTTGGGAGTGCGGCCAAGTGAGAGAACTCTGACTAAGTCGTCCAAGGCTTTTTATTCTTCGTCCGGATTTGCCAGTAGAGCCAAAATTTCTTTCTTATGAGTGGCTTTTTAGATTTACAGTGACATTTTTCAGGCAATCGTTATTATGTGGCTGTGTCTCATTGTCTGCCATCTTGTCCAATGAAAACAAAGCCAAAACGAAAGTGCGCAGTTTGGTTGCGCAGAGAAAACTTCTTGTTTCTGGGACGCAAGTTTTCAACAGCTGTTTTTTTACATCTCATCTCCACAAAAACCTACATATCTCAGCTCAGAAATGACATACAAGCCTGAATGAGGTACCATTGGAAAGAGATTGTTTACAGCTATCTAACTGTGCTGGTTTTTTTTTTTTTTTTTGGTGTAGAGGGCATTTTAAAAATTTGACAAAAGTATCTACTTTTGTCTCGGGCCATTTGGTTGTCGTCCTCTGTAACAGTAAACTACAAATATTGTGTAACATTTTATTTACGTATGCTAAAGAATTATTTAGATTTGTATTTGAAATAATCACCTGTCTGAGCGTCATGTGTGACAACATGATCACCAAGTGAACTGAAGCAACGCCGACAAGGCCTGAGAAGACACCAACAGTCTGTGAAGAGGTCAAGGACAATGTCTCCCTGCCGCCATCTTAGGCCACCAGCATTTGTTGTACTCCAGCTCTAAGAGAGCTCGTTAACATTACCACCGCCAGAAACCGGAGAGCGCCCTGCCCCTGTCTAATAGGTCCACCATGTGAAGGTGAGGTAGGCTTGAACAAGAGAGGCAAAGAGACATTAACTCTTTGAGTCCCAAGGAACGCATAAGACGTTCATAGGTTCCTTCCTAGAAGCCAAATGAATGCATGATGAGCTGATTTTACGTCTATCTTAACTAGCCCTTGGGCCTGTGATGCTAAACTCTCTGGGACTCAACGAGTCTTGTATTGCGCATCATTGCTCCATCTGGACCTCGTCAACCTGTTTAGTAAACAAAAACTTTCAGGCCCTCTTGCAGCTGCCGACCAGTCCTCCTTTTAGGTCTATTTGATGACCAGTCCTCCTTTTAGGCCTATTTGATGACCAGTCCTCCTTTTAGGTCTATTTGATGACCAGTCCTCCTTTTAGGTCTATTTGATGACCTGTCCTCCTTTTAGGTCTAGTTGATGACCAGTCCTCCTTTTAGGTCTAGTTGATGACCAGTCCTCTTTTTAGGTCTATTTGATGACCAGTCCTCCTTTCATATCTAGTTGATGACCAGTCCTACTTTCAGGTCAAGTTACTGACCGGTCATAATTTCAGGTCTAGTTACTAACCGGCCATACTTTCAGGTCTAGTTACTGACAGGTCATACTTTCAAGTACAAGTGCCGACCATTTCTCCTTCAACTTAAAGTTTAAGGCCCTAGTGTTGTCGGTATGCAGGGGATTCACGTGAAGATTACCCCTACAGCTTTTGTAACACTCACATGCGGAGATTGCGTCAGGTTTTACCAAACTTTATTTGGTTAATTTGACATTGTAACGTACAGAGCAGAGTGGCGCAGTGGAAGCGTGCTGGGCCCATAACCCAGAGGTCCGTGGATCGAAACCACGCTCTGCTAATTTTTTTTTTTTTTTAATTTTTTTTTTAATCCTATCATTTCATATGGACCTTATATTATCGTATCTATGGTACAACTGAGGGACGTTAGAACCAGCGACAAGCTTTTCCTGCAATACTGAACACGGAGAAATGCATGAACTATATTAACAGTATTACTGCAAACAGTTGTTTCATCATAGGCTGTATGATCCAGCATGTCTATTTGCTTCCACTGGGGAAATACACGCTCGTTGTCCAGCATGAATGTACTTCAACAACACAGAGGTCGTTGTTGGCTTCTCTGTCGTCTGTTCCCCCCCCCCCCCCCCCCCCCCCCCCCTTCGACACTAGAGATTGGTTACAATAACCTTTAAACCACAAAACTACACAACTGGTGAGTTAAGTAGTAGTTCAAAGGGGTTATTTGCTCTGTTACAGTTGGACACTTTTGCAGCCAATGTTTAGTAGTCATTATACAGTTCTGCAGATGCATTGTGTGTATGAGTGTGTATTTGCAAGCGTGTGTCTGTATGCGTGTCTGTGTGTGCATTTGTCCGTTTGTGTATGTATGTATGTGTGTGTGAGTGGGTGTGTGTGTGTGGGTGGGTGTGTGTGTGTATGTATGTGTCTGTGTGTGTCTGGGTGTGTGTGTCTGTGTGTGTGTCTGTGTGTGTATGTATGTGTGTGTGTGTCTGTCTGTGTCTGTATGTATGTGTGCATGCATGTATGTATGTATAAGGTAGCGAGGGGATTTGCCTGTGTATGTGGGTGTGTGTGTACGCGCGCAAGTGTGCGCATGAATTTCACCACTCATGCTTTTGTACTTGATATGAATCATATGCATATTATTATATGAAAATAGCATGCCTTACTGACAAAATACAAGGTGGGCGTTTGGAAGGATCGAATGTAAGAAGGGGCTGCGTGTCCAAATTGTGACCGTTTGAAAATAAAGTTCCTTCGTTCATTCGTATCTCCTACTAATTTTTTTTTAAACACATTTTGAGACTGTTGTATTCTGATTTGGGTGTGTATACCGAGACTGTTGTATTCTGACTTGGGTGTGTATACCGAGACGTGTTTTCATAGGCCAAGTTAGTCATCTACACACTTGACACAAAATGGACGCTAGGCACGGTCACTGTTGTGAGCCGTGGCAAATTATTTTTTGCCTCTGCCAGACGGTGGCCGTTGCATTATTGCTCCATTTGTACACGGAAAGGATAGTTTCGTCGCCAAGCTTCTGAGTTAAGTGCATGGCGCAACACTGTGAGCTGCAGATTCATTTGTAATGTTTTTTCTACTGAGACCAATGTGTTGGTGTGAACTGTAGATTCAGAAAATGGCGCGATGCCTTTTGTCTCGATATTGGTGGTCCCATTATGTGATTAAAATTGATCGCTTGTGCAACTGCTGATCTATTGGTGATCTGCTACTATCCATGATGAACTGCATTTATGTGTCGGACTGTTTGTGTTAGTAGTTCCGATGGCTACCGTATGCTTTTAATGCGTGTGTATGCTAGTGCATATGCTGAGACAGCAATCTGTCAATTTTTCCACAAGGGACTGTGATAAACATTCTGTGTGTTTTTCGTTGGCACAGGAGCGGAGCAAAGATGGGGTGACCCGTTTGCTATGAAGCTGAAACTAAGATTACCAGACAGTGACACAATGCAGTAGACGACCCTCCGCTTGCGTGCGGAAGTATATATATATCTTGTTTCTTGTAATCAACAACCCAGACGTCCCTGGAAAGTGTAACTTTCCTGTACCTCCAGACCTGTGTACCATAACTACAACAGTCCAGTTTATAATAAGATACTCACAGTAGGCAGAAGGAAACGTTTTCTTACTCACAGTAGGCAGAAGGAAACGTTTTCTTAATCACAGTAGGCAGAAGGAAACGTTTTCTTACTCACAGTAGGCAGAAGGAAACGTTTTCTTTTTACCTTTTTACCAATTGTCTGATTATTATTTGATGAGGCTGAGGATATTCGTTTCGCTCAGCAGGAGAAAATTAGTCTGAAGGGAGTTGTCTGAGAATCTAATACTTAACTGAATCTATTGTCTTCAGCGATGACCTAATAACGTCGAAGGCCGCCTGTACAGTGGGAGACCGTTTTGGGAATTCTAACTGTAGACAATTGGCAACTACAATTTGGCAAATTAGCTAGACAGTTTAACTAGATATCGCTGGAAGATTGTAATTGTAACGCACTGGTAAATTTGGTCTCAGGTGTCATTAGCAAGGGCTGTATCCCGTGTTAGGAGCGGGGATTTGATTCTTGCTGTGTTAAATCCTCTCAATGAAAGCTTCAGCTGGAGCTCAGGAGGTGTAGTTACAACTAGGGCTGTACCGAATAGTGATTTTCACTCTTCGGCCGAATACGAATAACTGGACCGACTATTCGGCCGAATACGAATACGAGACCGAATAGTGTATAAAATATATCTTTTAAAAAAAAACCCACATGCATAATGTCAAATGTACGCTGAACTTGTACTTCACATAAAGTAGCACAGAATAGTCATCTTCTTCTTTAGCATTCTGAGCCCTTGAGGTTTACTGCTGCAGAAATCACTCGTCTCCATTCATCTCTCTGGCTGGCCTTATCTTCACAATTTGTGACACCAGTTGTTTGCAGGTCTGGCTGGACATTATCTCTCGAACTTCTTTTTTGTCTGCCTCGTGGTCTACGCCCATTCCTCTCTCAGGTGTATACAGTTTTTACTTCTTTGTCATCTGACATTCTTTCAATATGCCCTAACCATTTTAGTCTGTTAGCTCTCATGATGCCAGTGATCAATGGTGATTTAAACAGATTATGTGTTTGTTACGTTGTTCTCACTCTCCGTTCCTCGCTGTTAGCATCTTTGATGGGTCTAAAGACTTGTCGTAAGACTATTTTCGAAAACCTGTAATAAGGCCTCATCTCTTTAATTTCTACTTCAAATTTCAGAGCCATATAAAACGACTGATCTTATCAACATTTTATATATTTTGATCTTGGTCTTGCGAGACAGACATTTTGACTTCAGCAGATTTTTAAGGGCATAGTATACTTTATTTCTAGATTGTATTTCTTCTTTCAACATGTTGGAGCAGTTGAAGTTTGCACCCAAGTACTTACATGTTTCCCTACGTTTGATTTTTATATTATCGACTTGGTTGTGGCCGGAGTTTAGACTCTTTCCATGTCTAGTTAGTATTCGTACAGAATAGTAAACATTTAAAAACATTTTATGTTTTGCATCCTTCAGTCAGTCTGTGTTAACTTATAACTAGAGATTAAACAATCCTGAGTATTATAACAAAATAACTAAACTTAGAAATTGTCACTAACAGCTTAGTTAATGAAGGAAAGCTGCATTAGCTTTCAACAAAACCAATCGTTCCATGTTGTCAGCATTAAGGCCGTGTATGCTGAAGCGGGTGTAAGGTAACTACTATTTGTATTCGGCCCGACCGTAACTATTCGGCCGAATACCGAATATGTCAATAGGTCCACTATTCGGCCCCGAAGCAAATATTCGGACCAGCCCTAAGTTACAACTACTTATAGAGTCAGCACATCATTACACGAGTGCTGGTCCAGACAATACTACTGTCTGTCTTACTTCTTCTCCTTTGTGATTGGTTTTAGTTGCATATGCTCAGGTCAGATCGTCAGGTGGGCTGCCTCTACAAATGTGCATGTTGGTTGCAGGTCCTTAATAGTTCTTCATAGCTTAGTCTACACCTTGATGGCTCCCTATAGCCCGCTCTACACCTTGATGGCTCCCTATAGCTTACTCTACACCTTGATGGCTCCCCATAGCTTACTCTACGCCTTCATGGTTCCCCATAGCTTACTCTACACCTTCAAGGTTCCCCAAAGCTTGGTCTACCCCTTCGTGGTTTCCCATAGCATGCTCTACACCTTGATGGTTCCCCATAGCCTGCTCTACACCTTGATGGTTCCCCATAGCCTGCT